TTACGGAGCCGGAAGCAAAGGGGAGGGGGAAACCGGATGAACCACCGAATGGGAAGGACATGAAGGAGACTGAACCAAAGTCGAAGCGACTCCCACCCCCAAGTTCGAGTCTCTAACCAAAACAGGGCATTCTCAGGGCATCTGGGGAAGCAACAAACCTATCGTGTTGCAGCAACCTAAACCCAGCATGCAATGCCACTGCTGCCTGCACCTTCATATGTAATTACCCAAGTGTAGTTACAGGATGAGAGCTACTCTCATGGTGTCCCGTCTTCCCAGCACTCTGTCATACAACGCTTTGAAACTACTGACGGTCTTGGCCTCCACCTCCTTCTCACCTAACTTGTTCCAACCGTCTACCACTCTGTTTGCGAAAGTGAATTTTCTTATATTTCTTCGGCATCTGTGTTTAGCTAGTTTAAATCTATGACCTCTTGTTCTTAAAGTTCCAGGTCTCAGGAAATCTTCCCTATCGATTTTATCAATTCCTGTTACTATTTTGTATGTAGTGATCATATCACCTCTTTCTTCTGTCTTCTAGTTTTGGCATATTTAATGCCTCTAACCTCTCCTCGTAGCTCTTGCCCTTCAGTTCTGGGAGCCACTTAGTAGCATGTCTTTGCACCTTTTCCAGTTTGTTGATGTGCTTCTTAAGATATGGGCACCACACAACCGCTGCATATTCTAGCTTTGGCCTAACAAAAGTCATGAACAATTTCTTTAGTATATCGCCATCCATGTATTTAAAAGCAATTCTGAAGTTAGAAAGCATGGCATAGGCTCCTCGCACAACATTCTTTATGTGGTCCTCAGGTGATAATTTTCTATCTAGAACCACCCCTAGATCTCTTTATCAGAATTCTTTAATGTTCAGTAGCTTGGGTGAACTGAAGCATGTACAAAGAACAAATATCTCATGACTCCAGATCAAAAGAATCACCAACCTGACAGGAAGCATGGGGGAGGAACAACTGGTGCTTGTCACCCTGAGACAAGGGGACAAAGACACCATCAACCTCACACGAAACGAGAGGGGACTCAAGGGTCACATCCATCGAACTATGGAGCCCCCACGGGGTTTCCCAGGGCCCTTAGCCTTGGTATCACGCTAAGGGAAGCCCAGGCAGGGTACTGCGAACCGGTGTGCCCAAAACAAGCAAGCAAACTTCAAAAAACTGAACCCCCAGGACGTGTACAATCTCGGGGGTCTAGCAGGGGGTACCACCAATATCACAGATACAGGGGTACCTCGGTTTAAGAGTTTAATCTATTCCTGGAGACGGCTCTTAACCCGAAAACTCATAAACCACAGCTAATTTCCCCATAATAAATAATGGGAAATGAATTAATCCATTCCTGACTACCCAAAAACCTCACTTCAAACTAAATTATATACCTAATTCATATAAATCTACACTACAAAAGTATGTTCAAGTTATTACTTACCCTTGCTGATAACTGCTGTTGGTGTATGGAAGATGGTGAGGAGGGGGGAGGAGGAGAGAGGTTACCGTTTGGGAGGGGAGTCCCCTTCCATTATAACATCAGGCAGTGAGGACCTCTCTGGGATGCAATCTCTTGGCATGTTTTGCCTGCATACCACTAGGTCCTGGTTGTGGCTCACTGCTCAATTTTCTCACAACAAAACGATCCATTGAAGATTGTTTTTCCCTTCTTCGCAAGATGTGTCTGTACCGAGGCATCACATTGTCATTGAAAAGATTAATGCAACGGCTTACTACAGCTTTCTCTGGGCGAGTTGTTTCAATAAAAGTTTGCATCTCTTCCCACATTTAAAACCACTTCCTAATGGTTGCAGAAGGGAATTTCTCTTCTGCCTCATCCTCCTCCATTGGAGAATTATCCTCAGCTGCCTCCTCTTGCTGTTCCTTTTGAAGGGCTTGGAGTTCTTCAGTGGTCAGTTCTTCGTAGTGTTCTTCCACCAACTCCTCCACATCAGCACCAACCAATTCCAAGCCCATTTTCTGGCCCAGAGTAACAATTTTCTCAACAATAGGCACTTCATTTACAGACTCAAACCCCTCAAAGTCTAGTTCTGGCACACATTCTGGCCACAATTTTCTCCAGCCAGAGATCAGGGTTCTTTGAGTCACTTCTTGCCAGGCTTTGTCAACGAGTTTTAAACACTACAAATGTTAAAATGGTGTTTCCAGAACTCGCTGAGGGTGAGGTTTGTGGCTTCAGTCACTTCAAAACATTTCCAGAAAAGTGCCCTTTCATAAAGTTTCTTAAAATTCGCTATGATTTTCTGGTCCATAGGCTGAATCAGAGGAGCGGTGTTAGGAGCAAGGAACTTTACTGTGAGAAAATTACTGTATTTGTTCAACAATTCATCTTCCAAGCCTGGAGGATGAGCAGGAGCATTGTCGAGAAGAAGCAGGACCTTGAGTGGCAAATTTTTCTCCTGCAGATATTTTTGTATGGCAGGGCACACCACTTCATTCACCCACTCCGTAAAAAAAATCGTAGTCACCCATGCCTTATTATTAGCCCTCCACATCACACACATTTGGTTTTTCTGCACTTTATACAGTTTGAAAACTCTTGGATTTTCAGAATAATACACAAGCAGGGGTTTAATTTTCGCATCGCCACTCGCATTTCCACACAGCACAAGCATAAACCTATCTTTCATAGGCTTGTGTCCGGGCAATGATTTTTCCTCCTTGGTAATGTATGTCCTCTTAGGCAATCTTTTCCAGAAAAGTCCTGTTTCATCACAATTAAACACTTGTTGTGGTAGGTATCCCTCAGCCTCTGCAAACTCTTTAAATTCTTCAATAAATCTTTCAGCCGCTGGTTTGTCTGAGCTGGCAGCCTCCCCATGCCTCACACTATGAATAAAACTCCTTTTTTTAAATTTGTCAAACCATCCCCTGCTTGCCTTACAGTCTATCGCATCTGCACTCGTTCCAGGGGTTTTCTTTACATGGTCTTCGTGCAATACCCTGGCTTTCTAACAAATGATGGCCTCTGAAACACTTACCTGCTAACTCCTTGTTGTGTATCCAAATTAATAACTTTTCCTCTTCCTCAAGTATTTGTGGTCTTTGTTTCATGATTGTTGATATGCCTTTTGCACTTTAGCACTCAATGTCTTTTTTCTTGGCAAGTATAGTGCATATCGTTGATGTGGATTTGTTGTACTGCCTACAAAGTTCAACAACACGTGCACTATTTTCATGCTTCCAAATGAGCTCTTGTTTTTCCTCTATTGTCATCTTCACATGCGATTTCTTGCCTTGAACCTTACCACTGGCTTTCTTGGGACCCACTGCGAGATATATAATAACTTAAGCTCAAATGGCCAAATATCCAACAAAACACTGTAAATCCTTGTGAAGAATTCAGGCTGGATTGTCACTGGGCGCGAGGCACTGGTAAACTGAGGGGCTATCGCCGTGCCACCACGCGCTAGATCGGCCCATATGCATATCAACACGCTCGTTACCCGATGCAACGCTCATATTCCAATGCAAATTTTCCGAGCAAATCCTGCTTGTAACCCGAAAAACTCGTAACCAGGGGTTCCACTCTACATCTATATAAAGACCCCCCCCAAGTACAGAAAGGAGGCAACCAACCAAAGGCAGACCCCCTTACCAGGCAGGAAAACAAAAACAAAAGAAAAAAAACCTGCAAGAGGACAATGCACCCAGGCGGAACACAGTCGGCCGCTATAATAGGTGATAACTAGCTGTGCAGTACCCCACACCCCTACCAGAGACGAAAACTACCTCCTACCCAGAGGTAAACAAGAACAAAAAACCCCAGACGACTCCAAGGATGGCCAAGTACCGAGAAGTAAAAGACATAGCGGAGGTCGGCCCCAAGGTGACATGTGGAAGGTGGCCCTATGCCCCAAGGGCAATACTTACTGGGCCCCTAGGTACGGAAAACCTAGGCGCATGCAGCCAGAGTACCGTAGAACATTATTCCTGGCTCACACACCAAATGTAGACACAGACCACACCACAAGGCACAGTAAATATAATCAAAACAGAAGCCAGGGGCACATGACCTGCCAGTATTACATCAGCCAAGAACCATAGGTTGGATTGCCAGCATGAGGGTCTGGGGCTCCCTCTTTCCCCTCACGTGGAGAGGGGGAGGGTTGTGCAGACAGTGGCGCAGGAACATGACGACGTCATGCTCGTTTGCTAATTTTTGTTTTGGGAGTTTTGACCATTCGTTTGGCTTTCGGTAGCAATATTTTCACCAGAATAGGGGTTTACTTTGGGGTGCCTATCTTTCTGAGTGCCAGACCCCAGTCGATGGCAAAGAATGCTCCCAACCACACGGGGGTTTCTATAGGCCATTGCCCCCTCGTGCTTCTCTAAGGGGACAAGGTTCTGGCTCGTGGTTCCCAGTAGGCAAGAACTCCATGCACTTTGATGCCAGAAAGCTAATAGTTACATATCAGCCTGGATAGCTCCGGGAAGCCGACGAGGCTTCCCCCAGAAAGGGATGGTAGGAGAAATATTCATGCGTCAATAATATATGTACAGTATATTTATTTAATATTGACTTTTTTTGCTGATAAAAGAAAGTAAACAAAAAGTCTTTGCCTAGTTGGCAAATCATACTTTGCCTAATAGGTCATGTATTGTAGTATGATTATGTATAGCATATGTATGTAATTATGGTACTGTACTGTATGCATACATATGGCTGACTTTTATATTAATAGCTTTCCATTTATTCAATTCCCCCATAAAGTTATATACATTCCTTTCCCAACAATAAACTATATATACAAGAGAAATATATATGATAGTGCATGCATACCATGTAGGTACAGTATTTGTTTGGCAAAATACAAAAATACTACAGTCAGAAAAATTTGAGTAATAATTATAATAACCTTTGTACACATTTCTCTACTTCAGTTAAAATAGTAGTGTCTGAGTAAAGATTTTCTTTATACTAAATTAATTTACTCGAGGCAATTGACACTTAGTTTAGTTAGGTCTTCTTACCTTCTCCTGCAATTCATGTTCATCGTGAAAGATCTTGTCCATCATATAAGCATGTCTTTCTGCGAATAAATTCAGAGGATAAAAATCTAATTTAAATCTTAACAGAGAGCAATGAATGCAAGCCCAGGTGTAATTATATGGGTATACCTGCATTTGTAGACATGCACAACATACTGTGATACAAGTTACTACCCTAAAAATCATTTAGTTTAAAATTACTTTCAAGATTAGATTAATGCTTACCAAAAGGTTTCAAACTATGAATGTGTTAAACACAGATCAAGTGTTGAATATAATGAAATGCTTAATTCTGGTACGACCAAGCCTTGGCTAAATGTACTAGGCCTCTCAGAGGCCTAGTACATTTTTTTGCCAATAGGAAACCAGGACCAGAATCTGGCTCACTCTACCTGGGAATTAATGGCCCAGTCTCTGACCAGGCCTCCTAGATGGAGGTCTGATCAACCAGACTGTTTGATGCAGCTGCTCATAGTCTGACATATCAATCACAGTCAAGCTGATCAGATATCCTTTGGAGGTGATTATCAAGTTCTCTTTTAAACATTGTGAGAGGTCTATAAGACAAAGGGAAACTGAGGATAAGAGATACTTAAAATGGAAAACCCACCAAAAAAGATAAGTACAGTATAACAAAATATGCAACTACTAACACCGCAAGGAGAATGGAAACAGATGGCGAATCATCTCATAATGAATGTTGTCTGCACCTACTGCTGTAGAACTACATAGGGTCAGGGCAGATTGGGGTTCTGATAGAGAGAAGGGGTCATTATAGGGAAGCTGGGGATGGGTGCAAAAGTCTAAAGGACGAGACTCAATAAAGAGCTTATGAGCAAGAAAATTACGAGGAAGATGAGAACTAGAGCCAACTGGTTTCATTTTTAACTATACAGTCATCTGTTTTCATTCACCTATCTTTCTAGGTGCTTTTCCTAGGTGATGGCAAAGATTTACATTTTACATTTATTTAACCTTATTTATTTAACCAAGATTTAACCTTTACATTTAAAGTGATCATAGGCCAGTGCTCCCTGCGCCTCTATATGGGAGCCAGGTTCTGGCTCTTGGTGCCCGGTAGGCAAATAAAACGTTGCGACTGATGGCATCAAGTAGTAAGGCACTGATCAGTGTATGGCGGCTTCAGGGAGCCAATGGGGTTCCCCACAGAAAATTACACAACTTAAAAGCTGATTTTAAATGCCCTAATACAGTGCAGTATATTCAATTGCAACTTTTACAACTAGATATAATTTTATGGCATTTAGGCCAAAGCTATACTATGTAGTCATTGACTTGGGCAATCTATAAAGGAACATCGTGGTCTCCTGTACCAGCATATATCACAATAAAAAACATGAAAATTTTAAAGTAAAATACCCTCTCATATTTCCTATCCCCTACCTAAACTAAATAATTAAAGAAAACTGCAGAATACCTTGACTAATTGATTCCAAAAGTCATCCCCCTCTCGGCCTGGTCTCTAGCCATGCTTCCTGGAAATAGGTAAAGAAAGTAGATAGAGACAAGGCTTCTTCAATTCACGTGACAGAATTGAACCTTTTAAGGGGCCAGGAGACTGATTTCTCAACCTTCCTCAAACACACAAATTTTTTGTACATAATCTACATGGTAAATGCTCCAACTCATAATAATGGTTCAATATCATAACATGAACAGAAAAAAAAAATGTTTAAAAATTGAAAATTTCACAATTTCAAATTAAGCTAATGAATTTAATATTTCAGCAATTTTTATTTTATTCATTATGGGCTCAGAATGGCATATAACATTCATTTTCCTTAATTTAAAATGGTGTTTGAGAGAATAGTTATAGTAAAAATAAAAAAGTTACTTTGGCCTTCAAAATATGCACAAAATTTAGATGCAAAATTTTATAACTCCCAAAGTTATAAATAAGGATAATAAGTATACTTATTATCCTTATTAGTATATTATAAATAAGGATAAGTATACTTATTATCCTTATTTATATAGTTAATAAGAATAATAAGTATACTTTAAATAAATGATAAAGCCCGCATCTGGTCCGCATTCTTCAATACAACCCAAAGAGACAAAGAATAGTTTGAAATCTGTAAATTTCTCGTCAAAAAATGAAGAAGTAGTAGTCACAATTTCTGCCACCTGTAAATGATTAACTTTTTCACCAATTTTGTTCACCCTTCACATACATAGTGACAGGTATGCATTCTCCAAGATATAGAAGCTACAACAAAATCACATTATAAACAAAGGAGAAAAAAAAATTGTTAGACATTGGTGAATTGGTGAAGCTAACATATTGGAATTGGCCAATGTATTTATATACTATATATAACAAAATACAGCATAACAACATACTTATGCATTATTATTTGTGTTATTATGTATTACTCAGTAATGCTGAAGACACACCAGCTGCATATCAACTTTGTGAACCCTCCTTACTACTATTCTTCTTTGTGTGTTTGACAGGGGCTTGCATCTCTATCACTGCAATATCCTTCAGTTCCAGTTAATAGGAGCTGTTCTCCTTGTAATCAGAACTTTTTTTTTCAAATATTCATATAAAATCCATTTCTTAACATACTGGGATGAAATATTTGCAATGCTGTTGCCAAATAATTGGAGATTTGTATAACATTTTAAAGTCATTTTCCTTAAATTCAATATTTTTGGGTCTCCCGGCCCCATAAACAGGCCCAAACGAGCTCTGCAAACAAATTGTTCATTACATTACTGTAATGTAAATGATAATACAGTACCTGAAACCTTAACACTGAATCAACATTATGTATATAAATAAATTATCATCTATTGAAATTTACCGATTTTTTTATATATTTTGAATGATATAGTTATGCAACACTGGGCAACAAAAATCATTCCAAAGCCAAGTCAACTCTACTACTAGGAATGGTTAAGGGCCACAGGGCTAACACCACTGCAAACCAGGCATTACATGGCAGATCTCATTGAAACAAAATACTGAACAATTTTGAGGATGTTGATACTGACCATTTCCAGAAAAGGTCAGATGTAAAACAAGGAACAATGGTTTCAAGCTCAACAAGCCACAATGTGGGACTGAAAACAGGAGATGCCTTTTCACTCACTGGGTTATAAATTCATGGAACTGCCTACCCGCCAAAACTGTAAATGCCAAAACTGTTTAATTTTAAAATTCAACTGGAAAAAATCCTCAGGGCAAGGGGGGGGGGGGAACCTTTGACAAGCCGCCAGCTTCCTGTCCATGTCGGGACCACTAGAGCATTAGTGGCCCCCTCAGGTAAATTATTATCCACCAGGGTATGATGGGGACGGTGTGTGCCATTTGCACTACAACTCTCAGAATTTTGTCAATGTAGACAGTCTTACAAGTGTAATTACCCAAGTGTAGTTACAGGATGAGAGCTACGCTCATGGTGTCCCGTCTAGCCAGCACACTCATATAATCCTTTGAAACTACTGACGGTTTTGGCCTCCACCACCTTCTCACTTGTTCGAACCGTCAACCACTCTGTTTGCGAAAGTGAATTTTCTTATATTTCTTCGGCATCTTTGTTTAGTTAGTTTCAATCTATGAGTTCAAGTTCCAGGTCTCAGGAAATCTTCCCTATCGATTTTATCAATTCCTGTTACTATTTTGTACGTAATGACCATATCACCTCTTTCTTCTGTCTTCTAGTCTTGGCATATTTAATGCTTCTAACCTCTCCTTGTAGCTCTTGCCCTTCAGTTCTGGGAGCCACTTGGTAGCATGTCTTTGCACCTTTTCCAGTTTGTTGATGTGCTTCTTAAGATATGGGCACCACACAAACTCTGCATATTCTAGCTTTGGCCTAACAAAAGTCGTGAACAATTTCTTTAGTATTTCGTCATCCATATATTTAAAAGCAATTCTGAAGTTAGAAGGTGTGGCATAGGCTCCTTGCACAACGTTCTTTATGAGGTCCTCCGGTGATAGTTTTCTATCTAGAACCACCTCTAGAACTCTTTCTTTATCATAATTCTTTAAAGATTTCTAACATAATTTATAGGTTGTGTGGGGTCTATGTTCTATTCCACATTTCATAACATGGCATTTATTCACATTAATGATTTTGTTGCTTTGTCTTTATGTACCATTTCACAAGCTTTCCTGTCCCTGACATTTTGTAGAAAAAAGAATTCTCTTCTTCATTTCTATCTCCATTTAGACGTTTCGCTTCAATGAGGTTCATTTTCAGCTTTTCTCTGTCCTCCTTTGAGAGGTCTTGTCTTATTGACCAAAGTTTGCCATCTTCGTCACATTGCAATTTTCTGGCATTCCAAAGCACTTCTGTCATATGCTTCACTCCATTAAACGTCACCCTTAAGGGGCAGTTCTTGTCATTTTCCTATCCTCCTAAAATCACCGACATGCTCCTTTGAATTTAGGCCTTCTCTTAATCCTACTATTTTTTCTATGATTTTCATCTCTTCTGCTGCTCTGTCTACCCTAGAGGAAATTTCCTTCTCTAAATATCCAAAAATTATTATGGACATACTTCTATCTGCAGTGTTTTGTACCAGTTTACTGTTGGTAACCAGGTCTTTCCTAATTGCTTGCCTAAGATCCGCTTCTTGTTTGTCATTTCTGGTTTTGACTTCCAAGCACACTTCCTTAATCGTCTCTTTCTCTTTTAAAACTTGGGCATGTGTGTCTTATTTCTTCTTTATACTTCTCCAGTTCTTTATAGCCTCCTCTAATGCAAGCTCGAATCCTGGTCGGAACATAGTTCTTAGTGAGTACTTAATGGTTATAATACAAAATGTTTCTCAAGTACAATGCATGACTTCCAGTTATATTGTCTATTTTCTGCGGGAGGTTCCATGCTCTACTTGGTATATGAGTAATGCATCTTGCAGACTCAAACATGTAAAGTATACATGAATACTATTTTCACCTATTTCACTGTCAGGTTTTCAGTTATCCTTTATAGTGTCTTAGTTTAATAATGTAATTTCATAAATTTTTTTGCCATAGACCATCAAGTGACCCTCAGGAACATTCTTGTAACCCCCTATTTGGGTCATGGTCCACATTTTGAAAACCCAGTGGTCTAAAGAAACTACAGTGCAACAAATAAAGCATACAATATTACTTGAATGTACAGTAATTAATATCAAACAATTATATGACAACAGAAAGCAGTATGTATTTACTATTTGTGCCTGCAGAATCAATCTATTCGCACTTGGACTCCTCCTTTCTAACCGATATATTTTTTCCTGGTATATACTGTACAGTACCCTGAGGTTACTTCGAGATGATTTCGGGGCTTAGCGTCTCCGCAGTCCAGTTGTCGACCAGGCCTCCTCGTTGCTGGACTGGTCAACCAGGATGTGGCTGCTCGCAGCCTGATGTACGAGTCACAGCCTGGTTGATCAGGTATCCTCTGGACGTGCTATACAGTGTAGTGTAGTACTGTATATAGGGGTGTAGCATATATATACAGTACTACATATACTGTGCAGTATTTCTCTAACACACACACATCCCCAGGAAGCAGCCCGTAGCAGCTAACTTCCAGGTACCTATTTACTGCTAGGTAAACCGGAGCATCAGGTGAAAGAAATTGCCCATTTGTTTTTGCCTCGGCCAGGAAAGTATGTGAGGTCTTAACATAATTTTTCAAGGCAAATACAAGCACCAATCTGAAATGTAGCAACTTACCTTATTGTACCAATTAGGGATGATCAGTGCAACAATGACTGAGCTAGCTACACCACCAAAATTGGAGAATGTTACAGTTGCTACTATTGCCAACCAGAACATGATGAACCTGTTGAGTGAAGAATAATGATAATTTCTTGATTGTAGTGAAAGTCAGGCAGTAATTTGGTGCTGTATACAGTACAGCATTTTTAATAGCATAAATTTTAATATTGAATAAAATATTAAAATGCTTAAATTATATGTAAAGTTCTATGGTAAATAAGTAATGGTAATAAACTTTAAATTGTGCATGGTCAAAGGAAATTTATAAATTGAATATTTAACAAGTGGAAACAAGCATTTTGATAACCCTAAAACATATCATCCATCTCAAAATGACCGAAAATCTCACTTTTTTATTTACAATTTTTTTATGTTACATTTTTTGGAAAAAGTGTGGAAATAGCTTATCAGGGGACCAACTAAAGGATCATAGGACCTTCCAGAGATCATTTTGGGTAACTACCAATCATTCAAAATTATAACTGCTCTGTTTGTTAATATTTTCACTACATTTTGTATATTTCATTTCTTTTACAGTGAATAGGTATATCATGTGCACAAATTTCCACATTTTTAATTTTTATATTGAAAAATAAATACTGTAGTGTACAAAATTTTGAAACGCATGATTTATGTTGAAACTTAAACATTTGTATATTTAGCACAGTCGTGCATAATTTATTATGAACACATTTTTGTTTTGCATCTATAAAAATGAACCTTCATTTAGAAACACTGACACCAAATTTAAAGTTGCAACCCAAAAACTACCAGAAAAAAATAGTGTTGAATGTAATGAAACGCCATTTTCTGAGTGAGACCCAAAGGCTCCCCGGAGCTTACTAGGCTGATATGCTAATGTCAGACTTTGGCATCAGTCGTGTATGGAGTCCTGTGGGCCTACCGGGGACCACGAGCCAGAACCTGGCCCCCTCAGATGAGGCAAGGGGAGCAATGGCCTATAGAAACCCCCGTGTGGTTGGAAGCATTCTATGTCTGCCATCGACCAGGTCAGGCACCCAGAAATGTAGGCATCACAAAACAGCTATTCTAGTGAAAACATTGCTACCAAAAAATATTGCAAAATATTGCAATAGCAAAATATTGCTACCAAGTACTGCCCAATAAGGACAGTACTTAGAGGGCCCCTAGGGACGATAACCCTAAGCGCATGCAGCCCAAGTACTGTAGAATAACTCCTGGCTCTCGCACCCCTAAAAGACAGCCATCACACTAAGCACAGTGCTGAAAACGCTGGAGCCAAGCACTCTACCTCTGCCTCTAGCATCAGCCTGAGAACTATAGGGTGGATAGCTAGCGTGAGGGGTCTGGGGCTTTCCCTCTGTTACGGCCCTCTCGGGACGCAACTGGGTCCTTACTCTGTTGTTGTTAGAGGAAGATATATATATCCGTTCCCAAGCCAGTAGTGGCTATCAAGGGATGTGATCCGTGACGCAAGTAACTTAAAGGGAGTAGGGAAAGAAAGTTAAGAACTTAATATTATAATTATCACCATCACCAATTAAATATATAAAATCAAAGAGTGCACAGGGGGAGGGGTATTAACACTATACAAGGGGATTATTCACAATATAGTCTTCTGCTGAAGACTCTGGATCCAGAAGCTAGGTGCTGAGTCCTCGGTGCTTTCTTCGTGGCCTCACAACGTGTCCTCTGGGAATGCCGAGCCTACCCTGACCACAGGTCAGCCAAAACACAGGTCCACTGGGGGCACCGCCGTGGAGGCCGTCAACCACAAATCCAGCCGGTCTGCTGGCAGGTTCCGGACCCGCAACGCTGGTCAGGCCACTCCACGGACGATATTAGGGTAAACGCCCTAGACAGGAGTCTCGTGTGATATCACAAATCACCCTCCTGTCCTCAATACCCCAGTGGATAATCGTCTCCAACAGTCGGTCCCGGGTAATCCTTTTACTGCCACTTCACTGGCAGGCTAACACACCACAGTGTTCTTCCGGGGGGACGACTTCACAACGGCTGCAACAAGGTACAAGGTATGGAGACTGGCTGCCTCGGGTAGACTGACTCAACTCCCATCACAGCAGTCCCAGGTCGACTCTGTAAGCAGACACGTCATCAATAACTGGGACACTAAAACACCTCACTTACAGGCTCAGACACAAACGCCCGACACATCCACTTCATAGATGGCGTTGTAGTCTGAGCTCCACCTCACCAGAGGTCAGCAGCGGCGGTGTGGAGCGCTGAACAGGACTGGAAACTGGCCCTTGTGGCCGGTATTCGCCGTCCTCACCTGGTGTCGTCGTCCGTTTAGCGGGGGTTTCGGGAGCTGACCCACAGATGGCGCTGTGGTCACTGCTCCGTGCTCGGACGCTGGATCCGGGTTCGTAACACCTCCCCACCAAAAAGAATTTGGTTTGGGGTTCTATAAAAAGAGAGACAAACCAAATTAGTACGGCGACACAACTCCAAATGGACTCACCATTACTGTAAACTGGCACGGCGAGGCTGTCTCGTCCACAGAACTGTCCCAAGGAGAAACCCTGGCACAAAGGGAACTTGAAAATGGCAGGCGGTGACCTGCCTGACGTACTTCTCCACAGCTCCACCGAGATGTTAATCCGGAGCATAATCTCACACCTCTCGAGTAAGGATCCGTGCAGACACGATCTGGGGCGACTCGACACTTCCCTGTGTCGTGGCACCGATGATGGCTGGTCCCAGACGGTATTTCTAGTACCGGTCCGGTGGTCCTTCAGGGAGACGGGCACCTGGAATACAGGGGTTTGATAATTCAGAGTGATAGCGACAGTGGGTAAGTCAATACTTACTGCATACGCCTCTACTAGGCTTACACCTAGTTTCAACAGGGCTGGTCGTACATTGAAGATGGCATTCACTCTGCCCACGTCAGGTCGACCAACGTTCCGTATAACGCTGTATTGAGGCTCAGCAATCACGCGGGGGGTGTCAACCTGTCGGAAACAGTCACTCATATTATCATTTTTCGTACCTCCTGTATCAACCATCACCTTCCAGGTCCCTTCTTCGACTGCAACACTTGCAGTGCAAATCTCTAATCCCTGGGACCTCTTCACGATGTTCATGGGAGCCATCATTCGTCGGGTCGTCCATCGGTCCTCACTGAAAGCACATACGAGAATCAAAAATACCGCTAAGAAACATTTGGTTACCTGAGGGATAAGCTTCCTGAGCCTGTAAAGTCCATAGCCGGCTACATCCATTAGCCTGATTTGGACCAAAGAGGGCACTAGAAACCTTGCGCATACCTCACATACCTCCGACGTCTGGGGAATCTCTGGCCGGTTCAGCATACATTGTACTTTGCCAGGCTGCAAGTACACAGGTGCCTTCACTCCAGACTCTTCGGTATCCGTGGGTGCTTGCACACAAGGCCTCACTTCTTGCTCAGGTACTTCTGCCCTCGTAACCTCATGTTTCTTGTCGAGAGAAGAATCAGGAGACTCTGCTAGAACACTGTCGATCTGCGGGTGAGAGGACAAATTAAACATAGTTACATCCGGGTCTGTCTTTACCTGGACATTACCATTGCCTGTAGACACCTCTGACCGTACTGTTCTGGCTGACTCGTCCGCTATCTTGGGATGATTGGTGCTCCAATCGGTCACCAAGTCGTTGGCTAGTACCACATCAATCCCAGCCACAGGGAGGGTATCGACTACTGCCAACGCACATGTGCCGCTGAAATAAGGCGAGTCGAGATGTACTGGCACTAAGGGGGCGATGTACTGCGTCCTAGGAAACCCAACCAGGACAACCTCTGGTCTCCCATCCACACTTACTCCCTCGGGTAACGAGCTCTTCACGATCAGGGACTGGGCTGCTCCACTATCTCTGAGCACTACAACTGATCTACCAGTATGATCACTCGATACATACCCGCTTGAAGTGTGAGGGGCGAACAAACTTGATCCTTCCTGTGTCGTCGTCGACTGGTTTCCTGCTGGTGGTGTAACACAGCTCATCATCATCACCTCCCTACGTGCGCTGCCACCTCTTCTGCCTCGGCACCTAGCAGCTACATGCCCTTTCTGCCCACAAGTCCAGCACACCATATTCCTCCTCGGGCTCCGGTGTTTCGGACTGCTAGGACTTGTTCTTCGGGGGCTACTTGGGGACGTCTTCTTAGCACTTTGTGGGACGGGTCTTTCCTCTTCTTCATGAGGTCTGTCAAACCGGCGTTGGTAATTCCTTGGGACGTACTTAGCAGAAGGCCTATGCGTCAGGATATACTCTTCAGCCATGGTGGCTGCCGCACTCAAGGTCTCTACCTGCTGTTCCTCTAAGTACGTCTTCAGGTCTCCAGACAAACAATTCTTGAAGTCCTCGAGCAGAATCAGCTGCTCGAGGTCTTCCTTGGTCTCCACCTTCCGAGAGGCACACCATTCCTGGAAAAGTCGCTCCTTGATGGTGGCGAATTCGGTGAACGTGTGCTCTGAGGTCTTCTTCAGGTTTCTAAACTTCTGTCTATATGCCTCAGGTACCAATTTTTTTTTTTTTTTTTTTTTTTTTTTTGAGATATATACAAGAGTTGTTACATTCTTGTACAGCCACTAGTACGCGTAGCGTTTCGGGCAAGTCCTTAATCCTATGGTCCCTGGAATACGATCCCCTGCCGCGAAGAATCGTTTTTTCATCCAAGTACACATTTTACTGTTGCGTTAAACAGAGGCTACAGTTAAGGAATTGCGCCCAGTAAATCCTCCCCGGCCAGGATACGAACCCATGACATAGCGCTCGCGGAACGCCAGGCGAGTGTCTTACCACTACACCACGGAGACTGCTAATTGGTACGCCATGAGCACAACCTTCTTCACCTTGTCGTAATCGCCGGAGTCGTCAAGGGATAACGTAGAGTAGGCGATTTGGGCCTTCCCAGTCAAGACGGACTGTATCATGATGGCCCAATTCTCCCTTGGCCACTCCAAAGAGGCAGCGACTTTCTCGAAGGCTGCAAAGAACTTTGAAACTTCCCTCTCATTGAATTTGGGGACCATTTTGATATTCCTTACCGGATCGAAAATACTTGCTCCAGTTTGT